CCGCCACCATAACGGTGAAATGGCCAATAGTGCTATAAAGGAGATATATCAAACAAATATTATACAAAATAATTCGAAAATTAAAATTGATTACTTACGGGCCTCGATAATTACTCGGATACTTCTCTATATGTTCCATTTTGGTATGCTTCATCTCATTATACCACATATCCACTGCCTTCAATGACATTTCCGTTGTATTCGGTGAATCATTGTAGGTCATCCACGCTAAATTTTGACCGGAATACTTGAAGGTCGCCGTATTGTGACAGTCATGACTGCCCTTGCACTGTTTGACATTGTACACCGCCAGTGCGGCCAATTCGTCGTCCCACTGCATGGTGGCCATGCGACAGGCCGGCTGCAGAACCGACGTGCCACCAGCGACGCGATTGCGCACCTTATTGTGTGCGCGTACGATCAAATCCCTTTGTTTTTTTGTGAAACTCACCACTTCGGGATCTATACAGCGCGCCGCAAAAGCCTAACGGAAATTTCGATTACTTAAAACTGTGTATGTGTAGACGAAAACTAAACAAACAAAAAATAAATAAAATAATAGACACTCACGCCGTAGTGACCGCAAGCAATATGTTTCGTCCGACCGCATAACTTCGGATCGCAGTAGTTTGTTGCCAATGCCGCTGAGACTGCCGTTAGAATGAGTAATATAAATGGCATTGCCATCATTAAAATTTAACGTCGTTAAATTAAGTTCGGTGTAGTTCGCAGAACTCTAAAGATCACACTGAGTGTTTTTCGCCACGTTGCATCACTTTTATAACCGTGAAACCCTCTGGCGATAATTGGTTTAAGTAAAAACAAAGAAGCACATTAACTACGGCTGCAGTAAAGCTCGAATACCCTTCTCAGTTGCATTTCTAACAGTCAGTGATCCAATCCCCCTGCGGGTAGGGGAGGACCCCCCTTGTGTGGGGTGAAACCGGATATACCCGTAGTAAGACATGCCTGTCGTAGGAGGGGTCTAAAATCCAAATGCACTATGTCTGTCATTCTGGGCTTGCCTTAAATTGTCAGCATAGTCCATGTCAGATATAGTGCTATAGTATTCATCGTAAAGAAATGGTTACAATAACCACTGTACTGTACTGTATTTATTTCTGGTATCTGACCGTGTTTTCGTTTACGAATGGATATACGAGACACCTTGTCATCATACAGTTGAGTTCTTTGGAATTCTTGGGGGCTCAACTGGCAGTAGCGAAAGCTACTAGTCACACCAAAGACTAAAACATGGTACCACGGGAGCAATCAGCCCTTGGAGGTAACTCCAATCTGCTCATTTTTGGCCCTTTGGGGAGATTCGTGGTGGCTGTGGTTTAAACCTAAATGCAGGAAGGGCATTTAGTTCGGTGTGGAGTCGCACTGCGGCCGGGTGCCGGATCCAGAGTACGGCAGAGGTTTTAGATGGGCCTCGTACCCGACCAAGGAGGCTAGGGTGTTTTACGTTCACCCAAACCAATTGGAACCAAAGTATAAGTGTATGTGGCGGTACTCATGCTTTGGTTCTCCAGAGTATGGTGCAGGTGCATGCACTTATGCTTTGGGGCGCTGATCAACGCATTGTTTTGATCTATGTGCTTCTAGCAATAGAAAGCACCGTGGGGTTAGGTCTTCGCAGGCAAGAACTCACGTTAAACCACAACGGACTCTCTGTCAGTGATCCAAGTGATAGTCTGTAAAGCGTTTTGCTGAAAACTGTGTTTTTGAAGTCGGTTGGCAAGATTTCTCGAGAACTACTCAGCTGATCTTCATGAAATTTTACACAGGTCTTTGAGATGGAATTCTTAAAGATTTGGTCGAAGGATTTTTTTTTCGATTAAAAGCATTTGGAAAAAAAAACCAAAATGTCGCGAAATTTTCACCAAAATTTTCGAAATGTCTGCCAAAAATCCAATTTTCAATATTTTCTTCCTTCGTCCAAGTTCTAAGTTAAGGTTTTAACTTAAAACACCTATTTTTTTACTTTAGGAAGGGCTTATTCTGCTTTAATATTTAATTATTTTTTTCCAAAAATTTCAGAATTTGTTTGTTTTAGTGTATGCTTGTAACAATGAAAATTTCCTATAATTTTTTTTAATTTTTTATATGAGAAAAAATTGTTGAAATAAGGGTGCTTTTTACCCGAGGAAGCCCACATAACCCCACAATGTCCTTTTATAAGGAAAAAATATGGTTGATGAAGATATTTATCTTGATTTTGATCAATCAGTTTGTATGCCGACTATATAAGTATGTAGTAGTAGTAGAAAACCTGGTTGGCCCACTAAACGCGGACAATTTAGTCAGCGTCATGTTGGAGAGCGAAGCAAACTGGGAGATTATCAAGAATTTCGCAGCAATCTTGCTTCGCAGCAAAAGCGGGAAAGGTACGCAGATGTAAATCTCTCAACGAGAAAAATGGAACGCCATCCTGAAGTAATGCAAATGCGGTCCCAGGGTGGGCGACGGTTCCTTAGAGGGGGGGTTTTTAGTGACCTGCAAGTGGCACATACCGCTGCTGTGACGATAGCACCGATGATGCGGAAGGCATTTTCCACCCTCTCACCCGCAAAAACAAAAAAAAAAATATATATATAAGTATGTTTTTGTGGCCCGATTAGAACAATATCTTCGAATCTTCAGTCGAAGCAATGCATTGGAACGAATCCATGCCAAATTTCTAGAAGATATTTCAAGAAATAAAAATAGTCGTTCACACGAGAACCTGATTTTGACTGCACAGTTTGTATGGCAGCTACATGCTATAGTGTTACGATATCGACAGTTCCGACAAATGGGCAGTTTCTTGGGGAGAATAGAATGTGTGCGAAATTTCAGACCGATATCTTAAAAACTGACGAATTACTTCGAGTATATATGGACAGACATGACTAAGTGGACTCAGCTCATCATGCTGATTATCTTTTTACATAAAAATTACGTGTCACGTTGTTTGTCCGCGATGGACTCCTAAGCTACTGTACCGATTTGAGCAAAATTTAGTACACCCGGTCCAGTTCGACCCAACTTAGAAGATCGGGTGGTAAAAACAATTCATAAATAAAAAATACAGTAAAAGCTCTATTAAATGGACGCTCTATTAACTGGACAGCAAGGCTGGTAACCAGACATTGAGAAAGCAGCCTTAAATTCGTTATTTCGAAATTTAACCTCAATTTGAATTCCTTGGATTGTTATACCGACAAAAACGTTTTTGACTTCATTCGTAAATAAAATTTTCACTGATTTCAACCGTTTACGCGTCGCCGGATCCACGAGTTTATATATACATACATATATATACGAGTATATTGGCTGTTCAACGTTTCCTTTTGAATTTTACAAAATGCAGAGAAAACTTAAACCACCATGTTTAGGGTATAATAATTATTTAGTTATGTGTGAGTAAAACATTTGTTGCTCGTTAATTAAGATGGTGCTGTATTAAAGCTGTGCTTTAAGCTGTTATGACGAATGGAAAAAAACTATTTATTTTTTCGTATTAAATTATTTATGGTCAAAAATAAACTGTTAGCATACTTTCAATATGAAGCTCGTGCCAATAATTCCACTAACAAACAATTAACAGTGTTAATCCGGATTAACTGTGCACTTAATCAAGTTCAAATTTGTAGCTATGCGAGTTTGAAACTTTCGTAAATAGCTGATTGTCATTTTGATAATATTTTTAATGAAAATGGATGGAAGATCAATACAGTTAATCCGAAACAAAACAAAAATATGCACTCTTCTAATGAATATGGTTTGATATGATAGATTACACTGACTTCATCCAACTAACTACTTTGAAACTATGAAAATGCTAAGGCCATAAAAATATACTGATTTCTCAACAAAAGAACAAAGTGAGGTTAGAAAAAATATGTTGGGCTTAATAGTTGGCTTCCTCATTTTGCAGAGAGAAATAATAATTTGAGGAGAGAAAGAATTTGAAGCGGAGGCTCTCTAACCCAAGTTTCGATTGAACAGCACACTATGTGTCAGCTTTATGTATTCTCGCTGTGACAGGCACAAGCTATCACATACTGGTAACCTTTTATTATGACAAATGTCTTACACACAGTGTAAAGACAGTTTTGGTTATAAAGGGCAATAAAATAAATCCTTTTAAGAGAAAGCTCTTAAAATCAAGCAAATCTCTTTATTTGCGCTCTGATATATTGATTATTGATGACTGAAATTTATAAAATTTAATATGTGGCAATTGTTCTACGGATTATTTGCAACAACTTTGCCTAAGAAAATATGGATCTGAAACCAGGTGCGAGCCAACGATTCTTTAAGCGAAGTTTACATTATTGGAAAAATCGATTATATGGGAGATATGTGCCATAGTTGTCCGATCTGCGCGATTCCGACAAATGATCAAGAGAATGACAAAACTACCAAGCTACTCAATTTCATTTCGATATCTCAAAAACTGATGTACAAATTATTATGAATACTGAAAAACTTGGCTTTAAAAATCATTGGCTGGTATCCGGTTTTAGATCCATAGGCTCTTAGGCAAAATTGCTCAGAATAAACAGGAAAACATTTCCCACATACGCTGTTTTTCCGTTTTTTTGGCTCCCTATTAATCCTAATATATGTACATAAATACATATATATATAGCTGCGCCCATATATAACAGCATGGCGTATGAGTAATCAAGTAATTAAAGTCTGCTAAATTGAAAAAAGAAGTACCTAATCTTTATACACAGCTAGCTGTACACTACAGCTATGTATTTTACATTAACCGCAATTAATATTTTTAATGTTACTAAAAGTATGTTTTCAGTATTTTTATACTTATAAAATATAAGTAAATTGTATATCTTATATTATATTTTGCATATCAAAAATTTAGGAGCATCTACACAAACACACATATAACAAATTCACAAAGCGACATCTATATGTCAAATAACTTTATATGAAGGCGACCAACAAATTCACACACACACAAATGCTCTGTAAAAAGCAAACGTCACTACGCAATGTGACAAGTCAGTTGTAAACTGAGTTTGGATTGCAAAATATTTTCTTAACCATAACAAATTGTTTTTAACTGTGTTATGCTTTAAATATTAGTTGTCTAATTAGAAATTGCACAAAACTGTGAAGCAAGCAAAGCCATTGAAAAATGGTGTACATAGATCGAGGTATATGGTAGAAAAATCGGTAGCTGTATTATATGTCTTAAATATGTGTCAACTTCCTGCATAGTGTTGCTGTTGATAAAAAGAAATGTTAAATTCTCTAAAGTACACGTACTGAAATATTTAGCAGCTTTTGTTTACTATTTTCTTTTGAGAAACCATAGTACGTTAAAAAAAACAAAAAAATGGCAAAAACACAATATGTAACTTCCTATGTACATATACACATATTGGCAAATGAGGAAGTTTGAATTCGTTAAAGTACACGTAAGCTGTGCAATGTTATTATTTTGAACCGCAAACTAAAGTAAACAGATTTCTGCTGCAATGCACAGCTACACGCTTCTTTTCAATAAAGTTGATAGTAAAAATTGATGCATTTGAGCTTTGGAAAAGATTAGTTTCTCTGATTAAATATGGAAAAAACTAGATATATTGCATATGTGTAGATGTATATGTATATATATGAGTTTGCGATTTTGTTGATTTTTTAAATGTCCCTGACCGTATTTTGCATCCATTTTGTTTTTTAATTAAAATGGTTAGATTTTTTTTATATGTATTTCACTTTTGTGCTCTTACCAATGTAATTTATTTATTTATCATGTATACTTATTTTAGGGCACTGCTGTTATATTTTTTAAGTACATCTTAAAAGCAAACTTAAGCAAAATCTTCCTTCTCAATTCACAGATGGCAGCGTTTTGCAACGCCGACCTTGGAGCGTGTCTCGCGTATTGGAGATTTTCACAGGCCTTTGGTTCATATCGATTACATTGTAAGTTAGCATATGCAGCGCACTAAACTGTCTATTTTTTGCTCTTTTATAATTTATTAATAATTTCGAAATAGTTTCAGAGGACTACTATCGCCATTTATGAAGGATGAGCATAGCAGCAGTGGTGGTAAAAGCCGCATAGGCGGTTGGGGCGGTGGCTATGGTGGCGGCGGTGGAGGAGGTGGAGGCGGTGGCGGCGGTTCTGGTGGTGGAGGTGGTGGCGGCAGCGGTGGTGGTGGTAGCTTTGGACCAAACCGTCGCATTGGACGCATAAATAACACCTCAATGGATGCACCAAGTTGTGGCAGTTGTTGTGGATAAATGGCAGTTATGCCTACTAATGACTCCTAAGACAGGACAAAAAGTGAACGAGTACTGCCTTATAGCATTTTGAGATACATTAAAATGAATCAGCTATATATAATATATACATAAACGCAATACCACGCTATCAGTCTGCTTAACGAGGTTATCAAGTACCTCCGGGTCATTAGAGTTTACATAATTTTTTAAGTTTGAATTATTTCTTGTGAAGTGAAAGACTTTTGAACTGTCTAAAATCAAATCGTGAATGCATAAAATGCAAAAAAAAAATATATATATACATATATATATTATGTTTTAGTCTCTATAAATGCGAATAGAATTCTGTATTGATATTCAGACTATTTTATATATTTTTTGTAATATAAAATCTTTTTGGTGTTGCACTTAAAATTTTGTAAATCTCACACAAACATAAAAATCAATAAGCCCTGCACTAACCTTCTCGGCTTGGAAATAATAAAAATGATGACTTTTATAAAATTGCCTATACTTTATTACGTAAATCGATGTATGTATGTACATATATGTAAGTATGTATAAATTTGGTAAAATCTTACAATGAGTTAAAAATAATATATGGAATCACAATAAAATATTTAATAATTTTTTTCTTTTTTAACAATATGTAATACGTATGTATGTATGTATGAAGATATACTGGTTCTACTGATCAGTCGAGGTGTTATTAAAAAACATTGGTATGCATTTCAAATCATTCACGCGCTGCGGCGTTCACATTCAACTTTCTTTCACACAATTTCTTAATGTGCACCTGATTTGTGAGTTCGGCTTGTCGTAGTATGCGACGAATATCACCAATACGTTCGTACTTATTCGCTAAGAGGTATGCCGATTTCAGCTGGCCAATAAAGATGTGACAAGATATACGCAATTCCACGCTATGAATACGCTTGACGAGGTTATCAAGTACCATTTTTACATCCGGGTCATTACAGTTGCAAGCCGAGTTGACGGCAATCGATAAGATTTCATCAATGTCACGCGTCTGTATGCCATTGTTGGACGTTATGCAGCTTATTAATTTTTCCACTTCGGCAATGCGCTGATTGCAGGCAAGAAATTTGGCAGTCGCACCGAATACCTTCACCTCAGGCAGCTTGTAGTGGTGTATGATTCTATATTAGAGATGAAAAAAAATTTATTAAATTGTATGTTGAAGTCTATAGTACTGTCACTTACCTGTAAGCTAAGCCAAAGCCCTCCTCGATATTTTTGCCGCATAGCAAAATCAATATGCAAACTTGTATGCGCTCCTGCGCGCCATCGAAGAGCGTGGGCAACTTCAATTTAAGCGCGTTGTCTAGACGTAACTAAAAGCAATTTGCACGGTGCACTTATGAAATGAGCAACAACTAATTTTTCACACTTGTCACTTACCTGCTTGAGCATTTTCAAGGTGTTTACTTCATCAGGGGCGCTCAACTCGCGTTCACAATGCGCCAAGAATTTCGCCACTTCCAATTGCATCGAAATCGTGTTGATGTGACTGTTGAGCGCGCGCGCATCCATATGCATTAGGAAGCTCATATTCGCAGCAGGCGTATTCGCACCCGAGCTTACACTCGAACGCCGACTGCCCACCGAGTTCTGTCGATTGCGCAGCAACGGCTCGAAATTTACCTTATCCCACTGTGTCAGCTCCAGCTGGCTTTGCAAATGCTGTTGCGCGTTGTGTAAATGCATGGCGTTCGCATGCAGATGTTGAAAGCTCTCGCAATTGGCCGAGTAGAAGCGTACGCAGGTCATGCTGGCGCGCACCGGATCGTGCAATAGCAGCTGTAGTTGATAGAGCGAGTTGAGATGATTTTGTGTCTCCAGGTAGTGACAGGTCTGCAACAGCGTCACACGCCATATGGCCAAAGTGGCGTCCATCTTCTGCATGTGCTCTATTAGCGACGGCAGGTTGCCATAACGCAGCGTGACAAGGAAAATATTCTGTATAAAGTATTCCGATTCGAGATTTTGTTGCAGTAAATACTTGAGCGCCGCATTGAGTTCGCGATGGCGCATGAGAAATTGCAGCACGTCCGTGTGTGAGCCATAGGTGAGCACATAGTAGAGGCATTCCTCGAAACCGCGCGTGTGCTGCACATACTGCCGTGACTTATTGTCCAAATTGGCATGCGTACCACTGAGATTATTGTGCAGTTCGTTGTACTGACCCTTGGCGATGTGCTTCAGATTGGCCAGTGTGTTGAGTATGCCCAAGGCCGGTTCGTGCATGCGTATCGGGCACGGATCTTTGCGACGCGACAATAGGGAGGCGAGTGAGGTATTCGAGTTGCGTATGAGTGAGGCACGCTTCAATGTTTCCGGCTGCGGTTTGAGGCAGGGTGTGCTTTCTATTGTTTTCACTATCTCTTGTAGTAGCGGTGGACCGCGTTGTGGGCGTTTAGTTGTTTGTAGGTCCGTTTCATGGTGAGCCGATTCGAAGGTATTGTCGTTCGTGTCCGTCTCGATAGTTGTCGTGGACATTATGTATTTGCATATTTTCTCATTCATGTACTCGCTACTCAACTTCGTCATGCAGTAGGAGAACTTTTCGCGTGCTGGGAATAATTTTTTGTTATTGTTGTTGTTATTTTACTGTATATTTATTTTATTTTATGTGCGAGTTTTTTGTGCGGATTATTAGTATATATCCAATGAATAAGGTGTAAACCAATGAAGTGAGGTTAGTTTCTGTATGTTATGATTTGATGATATTGAAATCCTTATTTTTGGTTATTTGAAACATTTTTTTTTATATATTTTTTATTAAACATAAATTTTGTCATGCACTTTTAAAACACATTTTTAATAAAATTTTGCACATTCATTGTTCCACAGACACACAAACAAATTTTGAAAAATTAAATTTTTTTTTTAATTATAACTAAAAACGGTTACATCTAATTATAAATTAATAATTATAACATTTAAAAATTTCTCCAAAAAAAAAATGTATATCAAATAGAATTGTGGGATGGTCAAAATTCGACAGCTACTCATCTTCATGCAATAACAGATACGAGTGTTAACCGTTAATTATGTTTTCGTAACCCTATCAGGTTCAAATTTCTATGCTGCCACATCAGAAACATTTACCGAACATGTTTCGGAAATGTTGTTGTTTTTGTAGCGTCAGAAAACATTCCCGAAAATAATTTCGAGGCCTGGTGCCGAGTTGACAATCTTTAGCTGGATCCGGATCCGTTCCAGTTACTTAGACCCGACTGTCGTGGGAACGGAAATGCTTTAGATTGTTACAACAATAACAAAAGCTTCCAAAATACATCAACGTTTTCCTACTGAAGGTGTAAACACCTTTATCGACACCCTCCCAACGCATGGCGTCCTTAGAATGGAAACACTACTCAGCGCAGACCATGAGCTCGAGTTGCCAAATGAAACCGGACTGACAAAATCGCAATTTTATTCTAGAATAGAACAAACCCTGATATACTATACATACATGTTTGTATTATGTACATTTAGAATTTAATTCTATAACATCGATATTTTATAAAAGCTAACCTAAAAGTGTTTTATAGAATATAAATCAGTGCCAACGCTTCCACGTATTATTCCTCAAAGCTATTTGGATAATCTCTTAAATGACTACAGCAACAACATATACAGGGTTTGACGAAAAGTAATGGGACTGGGTTTCATCCGTCGCGACTGTACTTCGGAGCGTGCGCACACCAACTGGATTCGGTAGAGGGCGCCAGTTGTCTTCGAGCACCTGGAGAGTGGTGCAACGCGAAAATACAGTGTATGTTAGAGCAGAGATTTGCGATTAAATTCTGTGTCAAACTCGGTGAATCTGCGACAAAGACAGTCGCAATTGCTTTAGGAAGAAGTGGTTTATTTCGGTGGAACCAGGCTTTTTTGGAGGGCCGGAAAGTGGGCCGAAGTGAAAACGATGTTCATTGTTTTTTTTTGACTTCAAAGGCATCGTCCACCATGAATTTGTTCCTCCTGCACAAACCGTCAACGCCAAGTTTTACGTGGAAGTACTCAAGAGACTCAAAAGACGGGTAAATTGAGTCCGACAAGACATCGCAGTCGATTGGAAGTTGCCCTACTACAACGTCCCCGCTTACACCGCCTTTTTTGTGAACGGCTACATACCTAACGAAGGCCGGCATCCCAACGGCTCCGCAACCGTTATCTCTCAGGAAAAAGACTCACTTAGCAGTATCACGAAAGCTAGTTGGGGAATGTTTTAAGACGCTACAAGAACGACAACAACAAAAGAGCCAGACTTACAAGGTTAGGTCCTAACTTTTGACTCTCTAGATGAGGAATGAGGATAATATACAAAAAGACACAGAAAAGTGGGGATAAACAAAGGCAAAAATAATTAGAAAATGACAACTTCATACACATCACCATAGCCTTCACCAATGTACATGCACCGCTTGCTCATCATCCAATTGATTTTGCATGCTTTCAATGTTTAGTTAAGTAAGGTACAATATCTATAAATATGGTGCAGTAATATATGTGAACAGTACTCACCAGTGTCAAAGCAACCCGCGCGCAAGCAAGACAAGCCATGCGCAGCCATCACACCGACTGTGGGAAAGCCACATTTGAGATGCACCTCGAAAGCCAAATCCCATTTTTCTGCCTGCACCAGCGAATCGCCCAGCTTGCGTAGGCTGTGATGGTTGAGTGGACCTGGTGGTATTAAAGATTCACAGCCATTTTGCACCACCGACATGATGATCATAGAATGTTCGCGTATAGTTTCAATTTCGGGAGGGCCACCACGCACCTACAAAAGTGTTGGAAACGAACATAAATAAAACTATAACACACCATCACTACCGTTATACAATACATACCTTAGCGGCCAGTGCGAGGCAGTTCATCATCTTAGCGACCAGCTCGTAGTCCACTTCGGGATTTGGCACAAATAGCTTTTCCAACTTATGACAATGATACAACAGCAGATCGACGCATTTCTGCTGTCCCTGATGGAAGGCGAGTATGGAGAGACATAGCGCCACGCTGGGCGCATGCTCGTAGCAGAACTCTTCACGCAAGAGCTTGTCATGCGTAATATTGCCGCACAACTGCCACTTGTAAGCGTCGCTATCACGCGTACGCTTGCCACTGCCGGCGTTGTTGGCCACGCCGTCTTTCACCGCAACTTGCGCATCCTGCGTACGTCTGCGTTGCACCTCTTCCGTTTTGCTGAAGCAATCATTACAAACGCGTACCTCGACATCTTCGTACAGATCGGGTATGCGCATGCGATGTGCCGAACAGGCAAAACAAACAACACGCCCACAACGCCGACAATGATGGCGACGCATGAGCATCGTGAAGGCGGCACGATGGCAGCACATGCAATGCGTGGCATCATCGTCGCGCACCCAATCCTCACGCGTCGGCGCCACCGCGGGCATTTGAAAGGCGCCGCACAGCGAGTCCAAGGACTGCTGCATGTCGGTGGTTTGTGAGAC